ATTATATGATTTCGGAATTACTCATATTTAGCTAATCACTAGCTGACATGTGAATAAATGTGTCAATTTTGTGATAACTTTATACAAAATTTTACTTGCGTGACAATAGTGATTGACTGGTCAAGAAATGAATAAAATTATAAAAAATTAACAAAAATTCGAAACCTATTATCCCACTATTATGTAATAATATCTCGTATGTATAGCCAATGGGTCATATCTATGTCCGGTGACACTCATAACTAATAGTTAATGCTAATACCGTCTTCTGATGAGGGGTCAAGTGGACCATAGATATATGGAGTATAAAGTAAACTAAAATTGAAGAGATGGGCAGGCATTTAAGTAGGAAATTGATAACCACTATTTTCCCAACTCCCCCATTTCTTGATGGGGAAAAAGGTCTAAGCCATTAAAGAAACATTAAAGTTTTTCTGGACTCTGCAATTAAAAAGGGTGTTTGTAGAGTACCTCCAAAGCACTTTGGGCCATATATAACAGGCGAGCAATAATGTGAAACATATACCAACTTAAAAGAAACCAAAATAACAATTTAATGGAGGGAATGTCATGGTCATATTCATCCAGTTTTCAACCAAAATGTCAAAGCCGACTATTTTTATAACACCACGACAACAACACTCTTTTTTGTTATTACTTGTAAGTACTCCTGCTTCAAAATTAAATGCATTTGTTTTTGTTTTTTTAGGATGTCACAAAAATAAGTACCTCTATTTATTTATTTTATTTTATTATTATTTTTTTTTCACAAGTACCTATTTTGAAAAGTCATTAGAGTCTCCCTGAATGATCATTAGGTTTTGAAAATTTTCCCATCAACCTAAAAAATGAAAAATTATTAAATTATATATATATATATATATATATATATTTGTTATGTCATTTTTGTTAAATAATAATTCATAATAATTTAATTCAACACTTAATTTTGAATATTAAGTACTTATTCCAATACATGTGTCTAGCAATGAAATTTTAATATCACGTAGAAAGATAAATGTCACTTGAAGTGAAGTAAAGTTCTAACTAATAGTGACTTCACTGATAATTGAATGCTTAATGCTTAAAAATAAAAAATATATATATTAGAAAAAATCTCAATTTTTATTACTACTTAAAATTTTCAATACCTAAAATTCAATTTCTAAAATTTAATGGATTTGAGGCTTACGAAAAATGGTGATTATTAAATTATATTAGGATATCCAAGAATCTACAAATAAAAATATAAAAAGATATGTTTTACGGAGTATTAGATTTTTTTTAATTAATTTTTTGTTAAGGGATTTTATAGGAATACAAACATCTTTTTTCACCTATTTGGCTATTTTTTAGGAATACAAAAATCCTCACACATAGAGTTCTCAAATAAACATTAATCTTCTTAAATTTGAATATAAATTTAAGCTATGGAGTACGATTTTAAATAATTAATATAATTCATATTCATTTTAGACTCCCCAATCTAAATTAACCTTAAAAAAAAGGAATCGAACACTATTATGTTACGTTTGGTGTGCAGGAATGGAATAGAATGAAATGCTCATTCCAACAATTCTTTTATTTGGTATGCAACTTAAAGTGGGAATGACCATTCCATTGAAATGAAAATCCATTTCTGAGAATGAAAATCCATTCCACAACTAAACCTATGGAATGGCCATTCCATTCCCAAGTAATTTATTTTAAAAAATCTACTTCCCAAAACATCCTCATATTCCAAGTCCAAAAACCATCATTACCTTCCACCACAATCATCTCCGTCTTTCACTACCACCACCACCACTACCACTGCCTTCCACTACCACCAACTTTCACCATCGCCCACCACTTTCCACCACCACCACCGCCTTTCACCATCGTTACCACCCCCATTTGCCACAACCACCACCGCTGCCTTTCACCACCGTTACCGCCACCGCCACCACCTTCCACCACCACCAATGCCAATGCCTTTCATCACCTTCCACCACCATCGCTGCCATTACCTTTCACCACTGCCACCACCTTCCACCACCGCCACTGCCACCACCTTTCACTACCGTTACCGCCACCGTTTGCCACAACCACCACCGCTGCCTTTCACCACCGTTACCGCCACCGCCACCACCTTCCACCACCACCGCTGCCATTGCCTTCCACCACTGTCACCACCTTTCACCACCACCGCTGCCATTGCCTTCCACTACTGTCACCACCTTTCACCACTACCGTTGCCATTGCCTTCCACCACTGCCACCACCACCACTGCTACCGCTTTTCACTACCATCACCACTGCTACCGCTTTTCACTACCACCACCACTGTTACCGCCACAACGCTAAACCACCACCGCCGCCTTCCACCACCGCCACCTTTCACCACTAGCACCACCTCTGCCACCTTCCACAACGCCGCCGCCATCGCTTTCCACCACTGTCATCGCCTTCTACCACCTTCTATCACCACCACCACCTTCCACCACCGCCACCACCACTGCCACCACCTTTCACCACTCTCACTGCTTTCCACCACCGCCATCACCATAACTACCACCACCGCCGTCGCCTTCCACCACCACCATTATCGTTAATTTAATTTAATTTATTTGTTACTAAGAGGGATATTTTGGAGAATTCAATTAGAAATTTATTCAATTCTAAATTTTAAATTGATCAAACCAAATACTAGAATGGTTATTATCATTTCATTTCTACACATTTTATATTTATAACCAAACAATAAAATGAGAATGACCATTCCATTCCATTACCATTTTCATTCAATTCCCACTTGCATTCCATTACTATTCTCATTCCATAAACAAAATGGGAATTTAGTTAAATGTCTCGAGAGACGCTATTGCACTGATATTTTTTTAGACCTGTAGACAATAGTCACACTGTTGGAAATCCTAAAGTCAGCTTCTAATAAGACCCATTTTATAAGTCTAATGTTGTAAACTTTTCATCACTAAAATTCCTTTTCAACCCTTCTTTGTCGGCATCTGTCCAATATATATATATTTTTTTTCGGAAGGTTTCTGTCCAATATTGTTTGGCTTGTTCGTTTAGCAGACAGTTTTTCCTTGGCTCGTTCATTTGGAAGCTAGGGATTACTTATACCAACAAAAATGGATAATAATTTATCCGCTGTTAGGGTTGGCAATGATAGCGAATCCCAATAATGTTTTGTTACAATTGATAGGGTCAGGAGATACTTCACTAAAGTATTGTTTTGATAAAATTAATTTTTTAAATTTTAAGTGTTGAATTTTTTAAGTAAAAATTAAAAATTTTAATTTTTAATTTGAAATATTCGTGAAACTTAAATTTAATTTAATTTTAAGTAACAATTAATTTGTTAAACAATATTTAAATCGTGTTATCAACACAAATAACATGCTTTCTTTTTTGGATTATTTTTTTATTTATATTTATTTATTTATTTTTTAGTTAGTATCAGGAACTCTCCTAGGCAGGACCCCCTAGGCTACAAATCTGGAACTCTCCTAGGCTACAAATCTGGGGTGTAGAGCCTCGCTCCAAGGATACACCGGGTGAATCAGAGGACATGGATAACTTGGGAGGAGTCGAACACTAATCCGGTATGTACAAGTGCCAAGCTCCTACCATAACAGTCAAGCCCCAAGAGGGCTTCTTTTTTGAATAATTGAAGACCCTGCATCTTTCCTTTTAATACTTATTTTTGAACTGATAAAGGCACATAAGAATCCAAAATAAATAAAATAAACCAGAAAATCAATTAAATGATTAGGAGTGTTTTTAATCAACTTTTATATTCATACCTAAAGGAAAAGTCTATTTATACCTGCTTCTTCTTGGCCTGCCTTCATACCAAATCTTTTCTCTACGATCATCAAGACATTTCACTCAATGAAGATTACCCATCCCCTCCTTTTCTCTCCCCCAAATATCTTGAAATAGGTTTCAAAAGCAACTCCGAAGACCAAAAGTGTAGGGTCTGTCTTTGAACCCCAGCATGTAGTTCGTGTAACATAAACAAACAATTACAGATGTCCATTACCCTACGTACTTGTATGAAAATGGTAACTTGAATCTATTCAAATCTTATCAAAATTAGATAAAATTTCCTCTAATTTTAAATTTTAAATTTTAAATTTTAAATTTTAAACAATACTATTAAAACCTTAAATATGGATGATATATTTCTACTTTCATTTTATCATTTTGATCAAAAAAAAAAAAAAATTCTTAGACGGTAATCTAATACTATTTTCACATTTAGTAAAAGATTGTCTATAGAAGCATGTGGTTGTGGCCGTGTGATATTTTTTTATCAAGAAATTAAAAAAATAAAGAGAAAAATATAATCTGATAATTCTTAACACTGTTTCTCACTTTCTCTTTCTCATACAAGCTAATGCAGGCCAACAACGCACAAATGTGCGGTTATTACAGTATTATTTTTCAATGTGTATTATGAATAAATGTGACCATGGTCATTGTCCTATCGAAAACATCATTAATTATAATTATATAGAAATGATGGTGAAAACAATAATTTCTGAAAATTTTCCGAATAATAATAAAAATGTAAATGTGCAAATACAATATCTTGAAACAAGATTTTAGTGGGCATGAGTTACCAGATTTGCCCATCCAACAACCCTCGTATCGCTGCCATTCACGTCCCGGCTTGTAAGTAAGTAACTGAATGTCGAAACGTGGGACAGTCAGCTTCCTTAAAAATCAATTCCAATTACTCATTTAGATTTGTAAGTAATCCAATCTACAATATTACAAGTAACATTTACTCACATCGGTCTTCTGTTACTAACTGACCCTCCAATTCCGGACCCGTATAGTTACCGTCTGTTACAACAAACAAAATTAATTAATTAATTAATTTAACCACAAAAGGAAGGACCAATGTCATTTCTGCAATAATCAACAAAATAAGGGTCAATATCCATGAGTTTATGCAAAGTCACATTCTTATAACTCTCATAGGAAGAAATGACAATCCCTCTCAACTAGTCTCAACCCTCGTTGTTCGCTTTCCTTTCTTCACCAACAAAAAGTCTCAAAAAATCACCTGAAACACGCCCCCACTTTTCTGCATTTCTCTCTATATCTACAACACTACTCTGTATCTCTATCTCTCTTTCAATACATGTAACGATCAGAATGGGTCTGTGTTTCTCTCGCAAGTCGGTGAAGAGGAAACCCTCCTCCAAACGAATATCCAACGGCCAGCCGACAGTCGTGGGCTCCAGCAATCGGTGGACTCGAATTAGATCGACGAAGAAGGACAGGTCCGCAGAGGACTCCATAATTCACGAGCGAGCTCTCGCGGCGGCGATTCTGCTCCAGCAGCAGCTGCAGCAGAACGGTGGCGGCGCCACCGCTGGTTCTGTGCAGTTTGATCGGTCCGCTTCTTTGCGGTACCCGAATTCCAACCCCAAGAAGCAGCCGGCGTTGCCTCGGAGTTCGAGTTCTAGGGCACGGTCGCTCACTGATCCTCTGCTTCAGCCTCACCAGCTTGTTAATAAGGTTTCGTGTTATGCTCCTTCAATTCAAGTGATTTCTTTTTTTTATTTTTTATTTTTATTTTTTATGTCTTCTGAAGTTCTATATTCTTTATGACTAAGAGTGTTGATTATTTTCGCGATCATGCGTTTAGAAATATAGTGTATTTTGGGTTTATATTGGGCCTGCAAATCCAAATTAAGAGCAAAAAAATTATCAGCCAAATTTAGAAGAAATAAAGTTCAGAATTCTGTAATAATCAGTCATTTTAGTGTAAATTTCGCTATTGGAATGGCTCATCTTTTTATGGGCTTAGTGGTGACTTGTAAAAAGTGGATGTCAGTGTTTGAACCATATTCTCAATGAAACGACAGCACTTTGTGACTTTTTCTTTTCCCCGTTCTGACAAATTCATCTTTGATTTAGTAAATAATTCCCAGTAATATTTTTATTATTTTTTATTTTTTTGGGGTGGATAATTCCTAGTGTAATGGAAGATAATTATGAAAACCTGTTTGTCATTATGTTCTGAAAGAAATATTACTTGTCCTGCTGTCCATTTGTCCAACTTGGTTTAACCTTTTCTGCATTTTGTTGCTTACCTTATGGGTGACTTGTTATTGATAAATTTTGTGTTTTTCTAGATGGTGTCCCTCTCTTTCTTTTGTGATTAACATGTTTAAATTATTAGAACATGCTCCTTAAATAGGAATTGTTTTAGGTAAGTCCTGTTATATACATAGATTGTCTATCCTTCGACATGAATTGACTCCTTTAACTGTCTTTGTACAGATAGGGAAAAAATTATTTGATCAATTCACAGTTTCACACCATGGCCATTGTCCTGATAGTTCTCATCCCTTAGAACCTTCCGCTACCAACAGTTACTTAAACAAAAATTCCAACATGTGATGGCAACATTTTATACATTACATATTTGTCATACGTGCTATCCAGCATCAAGTTTTGAGATGCTTTGACCATGTGATGTCAGACAGTTTTTGTAGGGAAATGTTGATGGGTTAATAAACAATCTTGAGCTTGCTTAATGGTGCCGCTCTTTGTACAATCTGATGCAGTGGTTGGATCAGGGTGTCTGTAAACTTGGATCTAATGTTTATCTTGCAACTTGGAATCTTGTATTCGTGTTATGTAGGTATTTTATAAACATAAAAGATATACATAGCCTAGTGGTACTTCATCGCCTTCCAAAGTAGAAGATTGAGGGTCCAAGTCCCCATATGAACAAAAAGTGGGGGTGTGAATGTTTCTTGCCAATGGAAAAAAAGAATATCCCAACATTCAGAACAATAGAATGAAAAAAATTGTGGTATGCTTTTTTGGGTCAAGTGTATTTTCTCATCTTTACTAGTAGTATATATAAGGCAATTGAGATGAGAAATTTCTTTCTCATATCCTTCAATCCTACTCCTCTTCCTATTGCTTCTAGTCTCTTTTCCTGGTATATAGAAGCCAATTGGGATAAGAAGTTTCTTTCTTGTCCTGTAACAAATGTGACAATAGCTTTTTCTACTCATAGTCTTAATCCTCTTCCTATTGCTAATTTGCTACTAGTGCTACCAGTCATACAGTTGCTACTACTAAATTAGCAGAAATAATATGAGGGGAAAAATAATGGACTTTTGATGGTGTTACGAACTCAAGATTTCTATCAAACTTTCAAAAGTCGTTGATTGGTCTATTTTAATCAGTAAGTGTTTGTGTCTTCCTAGTTATTCAAAATAAAAAATGTGATTCTGCTTCTACATGTTGGTTCTGTGCACAGACTATGTATTTAGCTCCAACAAAAGAGGTCTCATTAGGTTCCTTGGCCCCGAGGGGTGCCTTTCATTTTGCCTCATGTAGGAGCATATACTGCATTTTTGTCTAGTTCATATTGTGTTTTGAATTTAATAATTGCTTCTATTTGTTTGTTCTTTGTTTTAAAGTATATCAACAGTATGATAAATATTTCTTAACACACGCCCTTCATAAACAATAAACATTTTCAAGCTTCAAGATATGAAGGTTAAAAATCCTTGTGTGCATTATTTATCTTGGTGTGCCTTTAGTGGTATGATTGCTATATAGATATGGTCCTATGGAATACATGGAAGCCATTTTATTTCTAGGTCTCACCTTCTGGTCTGAATTGTTTCTGACTCTGACTTGTTCTCTTTGTCTCTCTTTAGCAATTTCTTGTATATTCTAATTAATTTTCCGTTTAGCAGGATGTAAAACTTGATGATTTGGAGACCAAACATATTGTCCTGGTCCATGGAGGTGGTTTTGGTGCCTGGTGTTGGTATAAAACCATAGCACTCTTGGAAGAAGCAGGATTCAGAGTTACTGCTGTAGACTTAACTGGTTCTGGAATTCATTCTTTTGATACAAACAGCATCACAACTCTTTCACAATATGTGAAACCACTTACTGATTTTCTTGAAAAACTATCCGAAGGAGAAAAGGTCTTTTTCTATTTCTACATCTTACTTTCTGTTTTCATTTGTATACTACCTCAACTTGCAATTTTTGTGACAGAGGAAAGGAGGTTTTAGAAAGGGGAAGTACTGCAGGTTGTCATCATTGGTTTGCTGTTAGAAATTCACATAGGTTTAGTGAAAACAAGATGTCTTGCAGCTTAATCACAAAAATATTTTTTTCAATTGTACTTCACAAATGCTTAAATGGTTAATTGAAGTCTTTTTATGGCTGAAGTATTCATTCAGCTCATTTTTCACGTCATGAGAGATGATTGGATCTAATCTTTTTATATTTTATAATGTTGCTGATTATTTCCTTTCCTCAGAAAGGATCTTGGCCTTGCTTCTGTTTTGTTAAGTTCATTGTTCCGTTTATTTTGACTAAAAGGTTTTTCTTGGGTTTAATTTAGCTACTATGCAGTAGTGTCTAAATTGAACACAAGCATCTGAAATTATTGTTTAAAGCTGTCAACTAGAAGTCCCTTGGAGATTTTATAAAAACCTGGGTTCGAAGTCTTCCCAGGAAATTCACCTAACAATCCGTAGCTATTTCCCTACAAAAGGAAAAAAGACAGGATATATATTCAGTTTTTTTTTTCTTTTTCATTTTGACCTGATTTATGCAGGTGATTTTGGTTGGACATGATTTTGGTGGTGCATGTATATCATATGCAATGGAGTTGTTTCCATTGAAAGTTTCAAAAGCTGTATTTATTGCTGCTGCGATGTTGACTAGCGGACAAAGTACCCTTGATATGTTCTCCCAAAAGGTTTTCTCGTTACTCCATGAATTATTGAATAAAATTGATTCTTTAATTTTGATGCAAGTAAACTGAATTCCATAAAACAGGACTCTGTTTTTGTGAGTGAAGTTCTCTTAGATGCATTTCTAACTTCCTGAAATGAAAAATCAAGTTTTGCACATTGAAATCGCTTCCAAAAGGTTCGGAGTGCAAAGTTGGTTTTCCGCACATTTTACACTAGCTTCTTTCTCATGCTTAGCCCTAGTAGCCATAATTTTCTAAGAGTATTTCTGGCCTTATTTAGTGAAATATTGCTGTTTGCCCATGCGTGTTCTGCATGGATCATCAGCATGAGTTGATGTGAATCGTAAATAGTGTACTTTTAGGCACAGTTTTTGAGCACGAATCTATCATCTATGTTGCATGGACTCTCCTAAATACATGAAGTCTCCTTGTCAGATCTATGACAATTGTGTTTATCGTGTTTGATTGGACATATATCTAACAAGCATGTCCATAATTCAAGTTTACTATATCGCGATGCATAAAATACTCTTATATTATTCTATTTAGTACAAAAGTTCCCTGAAACATTCTAGGTCACATAAAAATATCATTTATCTTAGAAAATAAAATAAAGAATTTAAAAACATAAATGTTTAGTTCTGTTTCTATTTTCCTTGAGTTTCAAGATTTGCCATACACAACGCTAAGATTTATTCCTACACCCGATACTCGTACAGTAACAGAGATGTCAATGTGTAACCCTTTTTTAACCTTGCAAAGCTTTGAAAATGCAGTATGAAAACTGAGTTCTAGTGATGTGTGTGTGACTTTTTGCTTGGATCTCACTTTAGCCTCAAGGATTGAGCCTTCAGGCACTTAATCTGAGCGTCAATCTGTAAGCTTGACAAGGTCTTCAAATGGATTCCGGTGTTCAATTTTTGCGACATTATTCTAAATAAATTTGTCTTGTCACACGTGAAGATTGTTTCAGCAAGTAATATTTTTTTTGATAAGTGTTTTAGCAAGTAATATTTGATAACTATTGCAGGCAGATTCAAATGATCTGATGCGACAGGCTCAGATATTTCTGTATGCGAATGGGAATGATCACCCTCCAACTGCTATTGATCTGGACAAATCACTATTAAGGGACCTGTTATTCAACCAGAGTCCTGCCAAGGTATGATGTATTATGTAAAGGAAGCTGATAGCAAATTTTTATTGTTGACATATTACCAGTGTCCAGCGAGTCACAATCAAGGTTCTTCGCGTGATGTATGTTTAATGTCTTCATTTTGGAGCTGGAATTGTGTTTATGAAATTGTTGAGACATACTTTTGACATTGCTATTATATAAATTGGTAAATTGACACATGCACACAGAAGGATGAGCTCGAGAATGCATGTGTACATGCATGTATAGGTTAGTTTGTATAGCAGGAAACATGATTATGAAATTTTCAAACCATGTTTTTGGCATAGCTGTTATATAAATAGGTAGATTGATACATGCAAACAGAAAGATGAGCTTGGGAATCTATGCATACATGCATGTATAGGTTTCGTTGTAGTTTGTATATATAAAATACTTCCTTCTCTGAAATATTTGTGGGAAATTGTGGTGCCAAATCCGAGATTAGGGATGAAAATTTAGCACAGAAAGATCCGTATATAACACAAATTGCACAACACAAACACAATAGTATGAACATGTGCTCTCGTATGCATGTGTGTGTGCATGAAGTTACATGTGAGCGTATGTGGACAGACTTACTAATACTAATTTCCCTTTCCCTTTTGCTTTTCCTGATCCAGGATGTTGCATTAGCATCCGTTTCGATGAGGTCTATTCCATTTTCACCAGTATTGGAAAAGCTCTCTCTTTCTGACCTGAACCATGGATCTGTCAGGAGGTTTTATATAGCAACTCCAGAAGATAATGCCATATCCATCACGCTACAGGAGACCATGATAAATAGAAGCCCCCCAGAACGTGTTTTTCATCTTAAAGGTGCTGACCATTCACCATTTTTCTCGAAACCACAAGCCCTACACAAGCTACTGGTAGAGATCTCAAAGATCCCATGAAACTAGAGTCCATTTGCTAGATGACTTCTGGAAGTCCCTCCAACGTCACTGGGGGATTCACTGACATGATCCCAAAAACTGGCAGATGCATGCGGGCAAGCATATCAAGCTTCTTAACCGTTGTAGAGATGCACCTCTTTTGAGTAGTCAGGGACATGCGCATATCATTCAAATACTATCTTGTAGCGGTAACTGATAGTATACAATTCAAAAGTTTTCGTGATGGCATGATTATCTGTACGGGAGTGAGAAATTGCCTTCTGGAAGAAGCAAAAAATTAGTTCATCTGCAGTTATATTCATTAAGGTATTGTTGGGTTTATGTTTTCGTTTTATATAAACTTGTTTGTCATATGAGCAAGGAATGTCTACTTGCATTTTGAAGATTCCTCTTATAAGAATTTGATTTGGATAGGAAGAAAAATAAATCATTCAATGAAATTTAGTTGCCATTACTGCTGCGTGATGAATTCCATTTTGGTTTGTAACATGGATTCTATACTTTATTATTATTATTATTTTTAAATTTGACCAAAAAAACCCAGATGCCCACTTGCATGAACCCTTCACCTTTACTTTAGAAGGTGTAGAAGTACAATCTATAATTGTAAAGGAGGAAGTACCGTTAGACTGAATCTGTAGTTGGGTTTACTTTAATGAAAGGTTTGTGAAACCCGTGTTTTAAACATCACTTTATTTGAGATACAGAAGAATGATAGCAAGCTCTTTTTTTTTTCCCTGTAATGGATTTTTAAAACTCACGTTTGATTCAAGCTTAAACACGCCCACTCTGAGAAGTATCTATCTGAGAGACCGTGCGGCATTCCATAATCGCTTCTTGCGATAACTCCCTGCAACTCCTTCGCGAAATTCGTAACAACTTCATCTCAATCCGCGGAGGGCATCTCCATTCACAATAAGAGTAAGGGTGGCAGGTAGCACCCCTAAAAGTTTGAACTTTTGAGTCAAAGCACTCAGTCCGATATAAGTGGTATAAGTGATACCAGAGTTTTGATAGGGCTGAGTGGACTTAAACCGACCAACTCGTCCCACATTGCCCAAATTTATTTTGAAAAATTTTGTGAGCGTGCAAGGTGAACGGGCACCTGCAACGAGGTTCCATACGTTTCCTGCTGTAATTTTTAAGTGGTATATATTTGGCCACATCATTCTTCAACTAACGGACACTAAGATCGTATTTGGTTAATTACATTACTATTTATAAGTAACATTTCATCACCATTTATAAGTAACATCATAGAGTTTAAAAACATCACCATTTGTAAAAAAAAATATCACCACTTTTGTAACATTACCATTTGTAAAAGGGCAACATTACCACTTAAATAATAAACCATCTTTACCCTCAAAATAAAGTATGCACACAATGCAAACTAAATAATGTCACATATAAAGATAATTCAATTCAACATATCATTTATGTTATTATTTGAAATTAAAAGTGATGATGTTTCCTTTTACAAATGGTGATATTACTTTTTAGACTATGTGATGTTATTTATAAATGGCGGTGAAATGTTACTTATAAATAGCGGTGTTATTTGAAATTAAAAGTGGTGATGTTTCCTTTTACAAATGGTGATATTACTTTTTAAACTCTGTGATGTGATGTTACTTATAAATGGTGGTGAAATATTACTTATAAATAGTGGTGTAATTGTCAAACGTGGACTTAGTGTTTGTTTTATGAAGAATTACTTGGCCAAACCAAGGCCACAAGACGATAGACAGTAGAGGATTGCATGAATAATTACAACAGGTGATTCGGGTCCAAGGTGTACCCTCAAATTTATTTTGGTGGGCCGAATGGTTTTATTAACCCGAATTATAAAAAGAAATTATAATTTATATACTTTTAAGACTACATATTTTTTTTATGTGAAACAAAGTAAAAATTAAATGATTTATAATATAATAGGTATTAACCTAACTTTGACATGTTTGCTTTTAAATTTTAAGTAAAAAATTATAATAATTGAATTTTAGTTTAAAAAACAAAATAATAAATAATATAAGATTTTGAATTATTTTCAAATTCTAATGAGAATGAATATTATTAACCCCCACAAGTTTTCATCATTCAAAATTCCAAAGAAAACCCTATTTGTCATGTGATACAAGTGGGTTTTTTTTCATGTAAGTGTGTAGTTATATACTTTAACAATTTATTTTTTTTAATGTTTATTTATTATTAGGTTTTTAAAATTTTGAAAGACTAGAGAAACATCAGTAATTCATGAAATCCGGGCCGTATCTAGCGGGTTAAATTGTGATGGCTTCTTCGGAACTTGGATTTGGTGCAGACTAATGGGCCGGGTTCGTCTAAGCTGTTACTGAATCCTCTTCTTGTTAAAGTTGACAGCACTGGCGGACACAGAGGGGGGCTTGAGCCCATTTTTTTTTTTTTTAGTATAGATATGTCTAGCCAATGTTTTTTTTTAAAAAATATATATAATAGTAGTATTAGCCCCCGTTTTAACCCATCCAAACAAGCCCAATATGTAAGCCACAATTTTAAAACAAAGGCCTAACTAAATAGGCCCAAGTCAAACAAATTTATATTCAATACTAGCCCCTCATTGACAATTCCTGAATTCGCCTTGGTTGACACATTAGTAGAGGTAGTACGATTGCAACAGGACCCAAATTTTTGTGGAAACTCTAATAATGCTACTTATTTATGGCTATTAATAATAATTTTGTATATAATAATTAAGTTTGGCACCCTCAAATTATTTACAAAATCCTTTTTGTGGTTACTTATTTATGGTTTGAATGAACATAATTATGATTATTAATGCTCCATTTGGTAGGACAGAAGGAATTGGAGGTGGAAGGAAGGATATATTTATTACTTTCTCGAAGAGAAAATAAAAATGAACTCGTTTGGTGGAGAGGAGACAAATCATCCGTCCTCCTTCATAAATTTTTATCCCTCCAAATATGAAAGTTAATAAAAAAAGATAAGGTTATTATAAAAGTTTTAAAATTTAAATTACTCCGTACAAAACTTTTCTTATTATTGACATTTTCTCTTTTCTTCTCTTATAACAAACAAAATAAGATATTATATCTCATTTTTTTCTCTTTCATCGACCCAAACAAAAAGAGGGAATGCCACAATTTCTTTTCTAAAGATGTCTCATTCGTCTTTTATTCTTTACCTTCCATCTAATTTTCTTCCTTCTTACCAAGCAGAGTGGTTTGAATTAACCTTTTTAGTTCAATGTATTTATATTAAGGATGGTTTGAATTAACCCTTTTTTAGTCTTGCTTTTAAAAATTTAAATCTAGTAAAAATGGTGATAATTATTACTGTAATCCTTGCTAGCTGCAACATATTAGAACTCTATTTTTATAATTACATATCCTTTTCTTATATATTTTTTCATAAACATTACATTATTTGTTATCAATTAAAGGAAAATAAAATCATGTTTTACACTTTACAACACTTACAATCTCATTTATCAAGTAATGCTCTTAAAGAGGACCCTCTTATGAGAAGAGTCCTAAGCTCTCTCATTATTTAATCATTGGATTGAAACAGTTTTTTGAGATATGTGAAAAATTAAAAAAATTATTTAATGCATATTTCAATTCAATGGTTAAATAAGAAAAATTCATGACTTTTTTCATTAGAAGGTCCTCTTAAAAGCATTACTCTAATGATAATCCCGACTCCACCTGGGTTGGATGGTACCCGACCTAATACACCTAACCTCAAGCACGGACCTAGCATAGGACCAATGGGGAATTTTTTTTATATATTTTTATTTAGAGTAATGATACTCTGTCCGATCAAATTGGCTTACTCCTAGTTCAAATCCTACTCGTAATTGCCACCTAATTACCTAAATTGTTGATATTTTCTTTGCGCTAAAGATACCAAAAATAAATAAAATATGGAAAGAAGTTGAAGAAGTTTTGACGACCCCGCTCTATCTCTATGATTTCTCCACAGTGGTGTCTTTGTTCTGCTTCTTTCTTCATTCTTTCTCTCTGTTACTCACTCAAAGGAAAAAATACATATAAAGGTATATGGTTGCTTGAAAAAAAAAAAAAAAAAATCTAATAAGATTGATGGTATGTATTCATGTTCTGCTTCTAAATTGCTAATACATTAGATTTTCAATTTAACTTAAAAGTAGTTCTTTGTTGCCAAGAAGATGACGACTCCAACCGAGAATACAATGGATGAATGTTTGTACTCATGTTTGCTTGAAGAGAAAAAAAACAAACCATAATAAAATTGAAGGTATGTATTAATGTTTTTTTTTTTTTTTTCAATATATATTTTTTGGGGATTTGATTAGAAACTTCAAAAGTTGTCAAGTCCTACCCTCTCATCTGACGCCAAACTTCTTGTTATGTTTGCCAAAACTGATACAATATACAAAAGCCAAAATATATATTGAAAAAAAAAAAAAAAGAAAAAACATGAATACATACCTTCAATCTTATTAGAGTTTGTTTTTTTCTCTTCAAGCAAACATATACATTTATATGTATTTTCCCCTTTGAATGAGTCAGAGAGAGAAAGATGAAGGAAGATACCATTGACGAGAAATCAGAGAGATAGAGAGGGGTCGTCAAAACCTCTTCAGCTTTTTTTCATTTTTTATTTTTTATTTACTTTTGCTATCTTTAGCGTGGAAAGAAAATCTCAACAATTTAAGTAATAACGTGGCAAGTACACGTAGGATTCGGATTAGGAGTAGGCCAATTTGATCGGACAGAGTATCATTACTCTTTTATTTTATATCTTAAATTTTTTAGAATTTATGAAGATGCCCCCTAAAATTATAATTCACCCTTCCTGGATTCTTTTTTTTTTTTTTTTTGCATTTTATACTTCAAAATTTTGAGAATTTACGAAGATACCCACTAAAATTACAATTCGCCCCTACTAATTTTTTTTTTTTTTTTTTTTTTTTACACTTCAATTTTTTAAAAATTTATGAAGAAAGCCAAATGAATTTACGAAAATGGATCCACTATATAAGTTTGTCCTCACAAATTAAAAGGCCGCCCACCCCCTCATAAAATTTTCTGGAATCAGTTTTTCTATGCTAATTGAAAACTGATTCCATTCATTTCAATATTTCATGCATTTGCAGAGACTTGTTCTGTTTCCATAAGTGGCGGTCAGAGGAAGGCTACACAAATAATTTATAATACTAACTCTGTCCCAAAAAAAGTGTCCTTAATGGGGAACCATGTCAGTTCAATTTATGAGAATCACGGTCAGGGGCAGAGCCACCTGTGGGCTAACCTGGGCTGTAGCCCAGGTCCAAAAAAATATTTTTTTTTACTACTACTACTATTTCCTATAGTTATAGCCCAGCCCAAGTTTCCTAATCCATGATAATGGCCCAGCCCACTAGCCTAGCAAACCCTAACTATTCCGCGTTGAGGCTTACTGCATACACGA